TCACTTGGTAGCCCAGGCTGGCCTCGACCTCATAGAGATCCGCCTGCCTCTGCCTCCCGAGTGCTGGGATTAAAGGCGTGCGCCACCACCGCCCGGCTCCTTCATTGTCTCTTAAAGCGAGTATAGTAATTATTAAGTGAGTATCCATATGATAATTTGTCATCCACAACTACCAACAAAATTCTAAACATCATCAAAATCTATTGCAGAAAGAACTTGCATTATAACATGGAAATAGCAGTAGTGTGTATTTATACGTTTAAGAGGGGTGTGCCCATTTAAATTGGTTAATGTGAAACCAAGAGGAAAAGAAAAACTCAAAAATAGACCCTCTTACTTTAGGAGTTGAGGAGATGGCTCAGTGGGCACATGAGGACCTAATTCAGGCCCCCAGCATCCATATAAAAAGCTGGGCTACACAGGCCTGCAGCTCCAGCACCAGAAGGCAGACAAAGGTGGATCCCAAGAGCTGGATGACCATCCAGTCTGCCTAGGGAAAACAGCTTCCAATTCAGTTGGAGATCTGTCCCAAAGCAGTAAGGAGGAAAGCGATAGTACTTAACAAGCAACAAACACAGGAATATCAATACCAGTATTTAAGCAATTATAAATTCAAAACTTTTGTCTGTTTGAGACCTAGGAAATAATTCTGCTTTTGCTTTATCTATTGGTAAGCTAACCAAATAAAAACAGTAGCTTGAGGTCTGCCAAAATGATTTAAAAAACAACAACAACAACAAACTGATGCCCTCCCTAAAGATCAACTCTAGTTGGAATGTGAGTGACAAGGCATTTCAACAGTGGAAGAGACAAGAGCTGAGAAAGGAAGAGCAAATGTGTTCAGAGTGTTCAAAGCAACACAGGGCATTTGCTTAGCATGAACAAGGCTGTGGGGTCAGTATTGCCTCCCTCTCCTCAGTAAGCTTCACGCTCAGCTTTTATTTCTTTAGTCTTTTTTAAAATTGTGTGTGTGAGCTGGGTGGTGGTGGTGCACGCCTTTAATCCCAGCACTCGGGAGGCAGAGGCAGGCAGATCTCTGTGAGTTTGAGGCCAGCCTGGTCTACAAAGCGAGTTCCAGGAAAGGCGCAAAGCTACACAGCGAAACACTGTCTCAAAAAAAACAAAAAAAAAGATGTTATGGGGTTGGAGGTTTAGCTCAGTGGTAGAGCACTTGCCTAGCAAGCTTAAGGCCCTGGGTTTGGTCCTCAGCTCTGGAAAAAAAAAAAATTGTGTGTGTGTGTGTGTGTGTGTGTGTGTGTGTGTGTGCGCGCGCGCGCGCGCGCGCATGTTCAGCACCTGCAGAGACAAGAAGAATCTGAGGCAAGTGCTGGAATCTGGAACAGGAGTTACAGGCTATTGTGAGTTACCCTATGTGAGTGCTGGAAACTAACCCCAGGTCTTCTGCAAGAGCAGCAAGTGCTCTTAACTACTGAGTCATCTCTCTGGCCCTTAGGTTTGAATTTTTAGACACATCATTAAGTACATGGAAGCTCCTTATCCCATTCTCACTGATTCATCAATCCAAGGGCTTTACTTTGCACTTTCCATAGGAAGACTTCCCATCAAGGGGGAAATTTCTCCCTTAAGTTGCTTTTATCAGGGTGTTTTATAACAGCAACAGGAAAAGAAACTAAGACTGTTGGTGAGTTCCAGGTTCAGCAAGAGACTCTGTCTCAAAAAAATTAAAATGGAGAATAGAGGAAGACATCTCAATGTCAACCTGTGACGCATGTACATCCCACACAAATTTAAAAATTAAAACATGTAGCCAGTTCCATAGATAAAACACTTGCTGTACAAGTATGAAGACTATACAAAGTTCTGGTGCCCAGAACACAGGAAAAGGCCAGGATGGCATGGCAGCCTCCTATAATCCCAACAAAAGAGAAGAGACATAAGATGCCCAGAGCAAACTGGATAGCTAGACTAGCAGGAATTGGTGAACTCTGGGTTCAGTCTGATACTCTGCCTCCAAACAAAAAGTGGAGACTGATCAAAGAAGATACCCAACATTAACTTCAGGCCTCTACATGCATGTATATACATACCTCAGCCTGAACACAAGCCAACATGTGAACACAAAATACTACATACATGCACACAACACATACATTTAAAAAAATGAAATCATCTTGAAGTGGGTAAAAATAAAGCTGCTTTTATCACTTACTTGATATGTGGGAGTCCAAGGACACACTATTGTCAAAGCAATTTACATTTCCTATTCCATTTACTTTGTACATGTAATATATAGTTGCTATCTGCAAATGGGTCCACAATGACTGAATATTATAAGTCACACAGGTAAAGACTTATGCTAGGTCAAAGACAAGTTATGTTCAGATTTACCATGGCAAATTCAATAATCCTATCAAGACTATCCCTGCAGGATCTTTTAGCAAATTGAGATCATGGGCAAGAACAAGTTAAAATCTTTTGTGGCCTATTAATGCATTTTACAATTGGATTTAGGTCCTACAAGCTAAAGAGCTTAATTTAACCCCTAAAGATCCACTGTATCTTTCTTGAGGCTGTAGTAAACTTACATGATTGTCATGAACCTCAGAATCCTGCTAAGTGTAAATAAAGACACTATGTTTCATTACCCCATTGACTAGTAACTGGGGACCAACAGGTACTTTGAGAAGTTTTTCATCAGCTGCATGTCAGCTTATGTCATCTGTTCCCCTAAGATTTCCCAGGTATGGTGGCACACATCTATAATATTGGAGCTCAGGAGACAGGCAGGCAGTTGTAACTAGGATAGCCTGGTCCACATACTAAGTGTCAGGCCAATCAGGTCTCAAAACAACAGGGAAGAAGTTTTCATCAAGTTTGTGGATTTGATGCAAAACACCAAGTGCCTTGCTGCTATCTTTGAAATATGGTTTTGTCTTTCTCCCAATACTCACATTCTTATTCTTATTCTTCACAGCACCCCTGGCTCAAGGTTGAGTGCCAGACTCTTCAGACAAAGGATGCTTTATACAGAACTCCTATCTCCACAAACAGCCTAATGTAAGGACTTAAGGGTCCTTGGTGCTTTAAGGCAGACACCAACGTTGTCTAACAATTTCTCAGAGGAGTACCCAAGTATCTCATTTTCTTTGTCTCAAAATGTCTGGAAGAGTAACAAAGACCTGTCATAGTGAAGTTATAGACCTCACCATTAATATACTAAGTCAAAGCATGGTACTGACTGGGCCATTTAGAGTTTTGTGAAACTTACACAAATACACTGTACAGCCATCAGTTACTATAAAAATGTCAACAAGCTTAGGAAGATCTGGTACACTGCAAACTCCATCAATGGCACAGTCATATCACACTGGATAGGTTGAGAGTCTGTAAACACACAAAAAGCCTCTACAGTTTTATGTTTCTTCAAGGACAGTCAAAGAGGTAAACAAGGCGAGTCCAATGAATCTTAGCACATACTAAGCAATAAAAAATAAATGGGGGGGAGATATCACATAAAGTATGCACAGAATCATCCTATGATTTGTGATTTTGCCAGACTTCCTTCTACAAACATCCAACCACCCATACTTCAGCTCAAAGTAAATAAAGTACTTCCTAAGTACTTCCTCCTCTGGTCCAGATGTTTGTGCAGTACACTCAAGAACCTTAGATCCTTCTGTCTCAGCCTTCCACCTGCTGGGATTCCAGGTGTGTTCCCATGCCCAACTCACATGGCTTTTGAACGTGTATAGATCATGTAAGGTAAGCAATCCTCCCTGATTGCGCAGACCCAGATCCTTTAATTTCTCCTTGTGTCCTCAAAGGACTGTCTCAGACTTCAGTTTCTCAAACATCTTGTAGAAGAGTGAGTAAGTGGTATAGCAGTGCTTAAGCTCTGTAAAATTCATTCAGCAGGCCAATGGATTCCTCAGATAAACGAGATTGCCATGTAAAACTGGGGATCAGAGTTTAATCCCTAGAACCCATATAAAGATGGAGAGAACTCAGTCCTCAAAACTATCATCTGACTTCCACATGTTCACCATGGCACTCCTATGAATCCACACACGAATATTACTTACATACATACACACACACACATACACACGTATATTTTTTTTTTTCTTAAATTCAAGGGACAAGTAATTTTTCAGGTTTTTAAGCCCCACAGCCAAGAATGAGACAAAGGATATGCTAACAACTATGGAAGGTCGGTTTTCTTGGCAACAGAGGGCGGCCTCAATCATGAACAGTTATAAGCACTTGGTTCTTGGAGAACCTAGATTCCTGGACTGCACTGTGTGACTTGTTCAGCTATACAAAGGTATTGTTCACATAATCATTCCAAGTCAAGTCGCCTAGCAGGAATGTCAAACAGCTTCCCTGTCTCTTAACAGCTGCTTTTGCTGAAAAGGCAATTTGCAATACCAGTGGAGTCACAGGGAACTTCAATCACAACAAATATATACCTCTGCTTTGTAGTGCTCAAGAAACAGGCTTATCTCATGTTCCTGAATTATACAGCATTGTTAGCCTTCTACACAACCATACCAATTTAGTGATGTACTCCAGGCTGCAGTGGGAACTAATATTTAGCACAGTTCGACAACTTAAGTGCTATTTTAAGACCTAAGGATTTGAAGATTCCAGTAATCTCAGGCCAGAAACAGGCTATGTAAGTACACTGTATATATTCTAGAAGTTGCTTCATTGTTAGACAACAAGCTGCCAATCAATTACTTGCTCCCTGGGGCCCCAAGTGTGTGCATCAACAAGGCCAAGCCTAGAAATCCAGGATTCTGTTGCTATTTCTGTTTTCCTTGTTAAATCCACAGGCCAAACCCAGCTAATTCAGAAATTCACTACAACATGTTTTATACGATCCCAAGTTCAGCTATTAGATATGATACAAGAGCCAACCAAAATTTTCTTGAATTCTAGAATTTAATGTTTCAGGCTCATTCTTTCTATCTTCCTTAGGCCCAATATCAGCCATTTATTTATCCAAGGAGCTTTATGCACCTCTCTAAAAGTGGTTAGAATTATTAATCAGTACCAAGCTGTCACTGTTTCTATGCTTGTCAGGATTTATACTAAACTTACACAAAAATCTGGTAAACAGATAACAACTTACAGGCAAAGGAAAGAGCTTCCCATTTACTTTTATACACAAACTATTGGGATAGTTATCTTCTTGAGGGCAACTGGTCTCTGCCAAGCAAAGTCTGTTAAAAAAAAAAAAAAAGTTGTTAGGGTACCAAACATGCTTACATGTTTTAAAATTCCAATGCACATAGCAATTAGGAAAATATCAAACTCACCGAAGCTGAACTTGGACTGTATAATCTCTCCTGCCACCTGGCAAAAAATCCCTATTGGCAAGAAAAAAAAGGGGGGGTGGGGGGTTAAGAAAGTACAATAAAATTTCACGGAGCAAGGGCTGAAGACATGACTCAGTAGGTAATGGTTCAGATCCTAAGCACCCATGTTAAAGCAGGGGTGCTGTTTTAACAGTGAACAACTATACCTAATCTCCTCCCAGTCTTTGCAGGGGGCAAGACTTATAGAGACAAGATAATCCCTGAGTCTTGCTGCCCAGTCAGCCTAACTAGAATAACAAGTTTCAGGCTCACAGAGATCCTGGCTCAATGAACAAGGCAGAGACAACACAGAAGATAACCAACACCGACCTCTGGCCACCACTCAAGACTGCCATGATTGAGTTCACACACACACACACACACACACAATTTTTTTAAATGTAAAATGACACTAACCAAACAAACAAAACAATGCAATAATTGTAACCACTACTTCCTAAACCTTTAGTCCTTCCTCATATCAGTTTTAAGGTATATTTTCAGTTCACAGGAACTTCAGTGATACGATATTCGCTTTAATGCAGAGCAAATTTAGTTAACATGAAAAGAACATTCTAGGCGCTGAAGGAGTTTATTAAAATCTACATGCTCAATTGTTCTTCCCCTTGATCAAACTTAGATAATCCCCCTGATAATCACTTAGAGACTTTTTTGTTTAATATAAACTTTCATTCATCAGGTCATTCTTATTGGCTTGAGTATAGTCTCATAGATTCTGAGCTACACAGGCAATTCTAACAGAATTATAACTAGTACCTATAGTTTGAACATGATAATAAGTGTAACTTCCTAACCATGTATGAAACTATAGACATACAATCTTTTATTATTTCTGGAATATTTAGTCTCAGAATGGAGTCTACACTAAGAACGGTTTGTTTGTTTGTTGTTTGTTTGTTTTTAGGAGGTGATTAAACATGCAGAGTATCATGTCTTGCCCCAGACTTATACAATTAGAATCTGCATTTTCACAAGACTTCCAAGGGCTAGAGAAATGGCTCAGTGATCACAGCATACATAATATACATAACACAGGAGCCTGCATGCAGGAGCTGATGCAGGCCAGGGAAGAGTGCCATTAATTAAGAAAATGCCTTACACTCCTACCCATAGCCCAATCTTACGGAGGCATAGTCTCAATTAAGGTTCCCTCCTCTCAGATGATTCTACCTTATGTCAAGTTGGCAAAAAAATAAAAATAAAAAAAATAAAAAAACCCAGCCAGCCACATGGTAGTGTATGCC